TCGGGGAGGCAACCCGCGGTCGACTACGTGGGAGTCCAGCGACATAGCCATTACACTAACTGCTGGTTCCCGTTTTTGTTGTTTTTAAGAGAGATTTTTGCCATAGGGTGTGTGTGCTCACCAGAGAGACACAGAGAGACAGAAAGCGGAAAATCACACCCTAGAGGGGATGGCCAAGCCACAATCCCTTCTCCATTCTGGGCATGCATGCACACGTGCCCAGCATGAGTTTTAAGCTGTGGTGTCCAGGACTTGAACTGGGTTAAGTCCAGCACCTTAGCCACCATACCATCTACAGGTCGCAGAGCTGAGATTTTAAAAATTTACTATAGGGGGACCAGCAATTGGCATGACTTTGTCACTGGACTCCCATGAAGTTGACCACAGTCTGAATCTTGGACCCGGTGGCTTAAACTCACGCCGGGCGCATGTGCGTGCGTGCCCAACATCCTGAGAGGAGAATGGAGGGGAAGGGATTGCGGCGTGGCCATCCCCCCTGGGGGGTGATTTCTCACTTTCTGTCTGTCTGGTGAGCACACACACTCTATAGCAAAAAAAAACCTCTCCAAAAAAAATAAATAATTTGCTATAGGGCACGTGAACTCACCCAAGAGAGACAGAGAGGGCCGGCAGGTGGTGTGGTGGTTAAGGGCACTGGACTCCCACATGGCTGACCGTGGTTGGAGTCCCGGACCTGGTGGTTTGCTTTCTCACTTTCTTTCTCTCTCTTGCTCTGTACCTCTCTGATCAAATTAAAATAAGTAAATAAATAAAGTTAAATAAAATACTTTTTTATTTTTTTGGAGAAGTTTTTTCGCTATAGGGTGTGTGTGCTCACCAGACAGAGAGAGACAGAGAGACAGAAAGCGAGAAATCACCCCCCAGGGGAGATGGCCATGCCGCAATCCCTTCTCCTCCACTCTCCCCTCAGGATCTTGGGCACACACGCACACGCGCCCAGCGTGAATTTTAAGCCACTGAGTCTGGGACGCGAACCGCAGTCGACTAAGTGGGAGTCCAGCGACATAGCCATTATGCCATTATTGGTTCCCAATAAAATAATTATTAAAAATAAAAAGAGAGAGAGAGGGAAAGTGAGGCATCTCCCCAGAGGGGGATGGCCACGTGGCAATCTCTTCTCTTCTCGTTCCCTCCCCTCTCTGGATTTTGGGCACATATGCCAGTTTTTCAGGCCATTGGATCTGAGACTCTAATCACACAGTTGGCCATGTGGGACCCCGCCACTTTAACCACCACACCACTGGCTGACCCCAGAGCTGAGATGTGAACCCAGCCAGCTAGCTCCTGAGTCCAGGCCACTTTGCAACCCCTCTAGAATGACATGGGGTGCGCGCTGTTGCCGTGGGTCCCCAGGGGTGCGGTGTGTTCGCATGTACAGGAATCAGTGGAGGCCACGCCATGCGCCACAAGGTGGGAGTATGCGTGCTGGCGTGTGCCCACATGGGTGTGAGTGCTGCACTGGTGAGCACGTGTCCGGGCCTCGCTGTGCGAGAGGGGGATGCATGTGTGGCTGCTGGTGGAAGGCCACATGTCTGAGGCCGTGCAGCTGTGGCTGCATATCTAGCGCTGTCACCCAGCTGTTTCACTTGCTGACAGGCTGTGCGGCTCTCAGATGTCCCAGCCATGGCCCAGAGTTCTGTGCGCCTGCATCCAGCTGTGTGTCACTTGGTTTTAAGACTATGTGGCTGTTGGGATCAGCAGTTGGCATATGGCTATGTCACTGGACTCCCATGTAGTTGACCATGTGGCGACCCCCCCGGGGGGTGATTTCTCGCTTTCTGTCTCTCTGTCTCTTTCTGGTGAGCACACGTGCCCTATAGCAAAAACCTCTCAAAACAAAACAAAACAAAACAAAAAAACTATGTGGCTGTGAGCTTGGCTGGCCGAGTGTGAGTTACAACAGTTTGGCACTGAGAAGCCTGTGCTCATAAACAGCTTTGCAGAGGGTGTGGCTGCTGCAGGTCAGACTGTCCCCACCCAGGTCAGGAGCTAGGCCAGGACCCAGCTAATCTCCCCCAGCCAGAAGCAACTGGGAGCACTCGCTGCCCCTGCCCTCGGCCTCCTATCTCCATCCACGCTGGTGCCAGAGGCCAGGGAAACCCTGCTCTGAGACTCATTTCCTCCACCCCCTTCCAGGAAGTCCCCAACCTGGGGACACAGAATCAGCAGATGCGAAAGACAAGGTCATGTGGACCCAGCCTCTGCCCTCTTCAAAGTGCAGGGGAGCCATTCTTTGGGGATGGGGTGCAGGGGCAGAAGCCAGCCTCAGGTAGCGCGGCAGAAAAAGAGGCGAGAGTGTGTGTGTGTGTGTGTGTGTGTGTGTGTAAGGGCCAACCTGGGCGGGGAAGGGAGGCTGCAGCTGGGTGACTGACACGTGGGGTGGGAGCCCTGGGGCTGGAAGAGGGCCTGTGGGGGCTACTGAGATCTCAGGTCTTCCATGCCCACAGGTCCCTGCCTTGATCAAGCCCCTTAGCGCCCGGAAAGTTCCCTGACCGGGTCCTTTTCCCTGGGTAGACCCTATGTCCTCTCCCTCTGTAATACCTCCTTGACCATCGCCTGAAGTGCGGTCCCCCTTATGTACCCAGGTCCTCAAAATTTAGAAGTTGCCCTCTCCAGGAATCTGTCCTTGCTCTCTCAAGTGCCCAGCGACCCCACCCCACCCCACCCTGACGTTCTCCTGAGACTCCAGGGACACGTTTCTTTCTAGAGGACCCAAAGCCTCGCTCCTGTCCACTCCCGCCTCTCTTAACACGTGGCCCCTCCCCAGGAAGCCAGAGCACCCTCTTCCCCCACCTTCCAAGAGGGCGGGTCTCACCTCACAAGATCCAGGAAGGAATCGAACACCTCCTTGCTGGGGGCCTGTTCCACAGCGTCGGTGGCCTCGGTGGCCCCAAGCGAGGCGTTTCTGGAGGCGAAGGCGAGGGCGGCGCCGGGCTGCAGCGCCAGCGCCAAAGCCACCCCAAGAGCCGACGCGAGCAGCGTGGTGACCAGGAAGAAGAGCAGCGCCCAGGCGCCCAGGCGGCCGAGCGCACTGGCATCCAGGCTGGCGGCGCCACCGATCAGGCTGCACACCACCAGCGGTAAGATGATCATCTTCAGCAGGCGCAGCAGCAGCTCGCCCGGGAAGTTCAAGGCGGTCAAAAGCTTGGGGCCCATTGCCTGCGCACCGCCAGCCGCAGACAAGCCCAGCCCCAGCGCCACGCCGGACACCACGGCCGTCACGGTCAGCAGCACCAGCAGGTTCGCTCGAAGGCAGCGGA